AGTCCCTTGAGTCATGATAATGGGATCTGAGTTTTTCTCTAGATTTGATTACGCAGTAAAGGAACTCCCTCTTACAAAGCAGTTCAGGGCTATAGTGGTTTAAAAATATTATTGGCCAGGCGTGGTGGCTTATGCCTGGAAGACTGAGGTGAGAGGCTCACTTGAAGCCAAGAGTTTGAGACCTGCCTGGGCACATAGAGAAAGACATCTCTATTAAAAAAAAAAAAAAAAAGAACCAGGCGCGGTGGCTCAAGCCTGTAATCCCAGCACTTTGGGAGGCTGCGGCGGGTGGATCACGAGGTCGAGAGATCGAGACCATCCTGGTCAACATGGTGAAACCCCGTCTCTACTAAAAATACAAAAAATTAGCTGGGTGGCCGGGCGCAGTGGCTCAAGCCTGTAATCCCAGCATTTTGGGAGGCCGAGGCGGGTGGATCACGAGGTCGAGAGATCAAGACCATCCTGGTCAACATGGTGAAACCCCGTCTCTACTAAAAATACAAAAAACTAGCTGGGCGTGGTGGTGCGTGCCTGTAATCCCAGCTACTCAGGAGGCTGAGGCAGGATATTTGCCTGAACCTAGGAGGTGGAGGTTGCGGTGAGCCGAGATCGCGCCATTGCACTCCAGCCTGGGTAACAAGAGTGAAACTCCGTCTAAAATTTAAAAAAAAAAAAAAATGCTGGGCATGGTGGCAAGCACCTGTAATCCCAGCTACAGGAACTACATTCTGGGGAGGGTGAGAAGGGAGTGTTGCATGACTCTTGGGGTGTTGCTTTTCTGGCCAGAAAACTCTGTGTCTGGTGGCACCTTTCCCCAAGTTTTGCTTAGGCCCTCTAGGGTCATTTTGCCCACTCCGCCTGGCAGATTGCACTCAGCCCATGCTATCAACCTGTATCCCATGTCTGCCAAGGGCAAGCCAGGCGTGGAGCAGCGAGGAGGTGTGTGAGCAAGCGAGTGTGGGGTCTGGCCACTGTGCACAGTCAGGCATGCTGGCTGCTGCAGTGGGGCGGGCAGTTCCAGGTGCTGGCACCAGCACCAGCTCTCCATGAGGCTGCGGCTGGACCAGGCACACCACAAGCACCTTCCACAGCTGCCACTGGAAAATGCAGTGGCACCTGAAAACTTGGTGACTCCAGGAACTGCCAGGCCCCAAAGAGGGAGTCACAGCCCTGACTTAGGGAGCTCCCAGGTCTGGGATCCCCGAAGGGCCACAGCTCTTCACCCACAATGTGGTTAGTAAGGGGCATGTTTCAGCCCTGTTGATGTCACAGCTGTTTCAGCCCTGCCACTCGGCAGGTCCCAAGTTCTTGTCCTGCATCCAGGAAGAATGAGGCACGTGGACAAGTGCAGGGTGAACAAGGTGAAGAGGAGCTTTACTGAGTGACAGAAGAGCTCCAAGGAGGCACTGGAGTGGGTAGCTCCACTCTGTAGCTGGTTATCCCTGCATCCACTCTGCTCTAGCTGAGCCCAGGGGTTTTATGGGCCTCAGCGGGGAGGAAGTGTGCACTGAGTGGCCCATGGGCGGCCGTGGGCAGGCCCAGAAAAGGCACCACAAGTTCCCACCCTGGTCAGTGGAAATGGCAGCCTGGCCCCCAACCTTCAGGCCCTCCCTGGTCTGAAGGTAGGGGCTTCACCAGGACCTGTCCCCTTCCACTCAGGAACCTGTCTGCCTCCACTGCCATTCATGGTGCCCAGGCTATAGGTGCCAAGAGGCGCCTGCAGGCCAGCACCAAGCTGCCCTCAGCCTCCCATTGGCTTATGCTTATTGGCACCCAAAGTCTGAAGGCTGCTGAGGCAGCAAGGAACTGGTGTGTTAGCACTGCCTCAAGCATGTGCACCCCAACCAGATGCAATGGCACCCAGGCTTGGCCCTGACTTTGCCCGGAGATCGGAACAGGTGCCAATAGTAGGGAGAAGCCAGGCTGTGTGAGCAGGCACTTCCAAGCCTGTGAGGGCTGGACGGGCCTTCCCAGGCCCCCAAGAATGCAGGGATGCCTCGGTCCACAGCTGCAGCCGTGCCCAAGATGGGGAGGGGGGCAAGACTCCTGCCTGCTCTGTGGAGTGTGAGGCCACAACGTGGGCAGCTGCAGCTGCACCTGGGGAGCTCCTGCCCCAAAACTCGAAAAGGGCAGGGCTCTCACTTGTCTCTGGCTCCCACGGGCTCTGTGCAGTGTGTAGTCCTGGCCGTGCCTCCCTGCTGCCTGCTGCAGCCAGTGTGACGGCAGTGGCCACTCCAGAAGGGCTACTGCTGCCATCAGGAGAATCCCTTGAGTCCAGGAGTTCAAGCTTGCAGTGAGCTACCATTATGCCGCTGCACTTCAGCCTGGTTACAGAGCAAGAAATAATAATAAATAAAAATATTATCTATAAATTGTTTGACATGCCTTCAAAAAAAATGCTTCCTTCCCTTGGCTGCAGCCATGATAAAAAAGGAAACAGGCTGGGCGCGGTGGCTCAAGCCTGTAATCCCAGCACTTTGGGAGGCCGAGGCAGGTGGATCACAAGGTCAAGAGATCGAGACCATCCTGGTCAACATGGTGAAACCTCATCTCTACTAAAGGTGCAAAAAATTAGCTGGGCATGGTGGCGCGTGCCTGTAATCCCAGCTACTCCGGAGGCTGAGGCAGGAGAATTGCCTGAACCCAGGAGGCGGAGGTTGCGGTGAGCCAAGATCGCACCATTGCACTCCAGCCTGGGTAACAAGAGTGAAACTCCGTCTCAAAAAAAAAAGGAAACAAAATGATACCTAATTTCTCTCCTCTTTTGGGTGGGCCAGATTTAATGACCTGCTTTTAATTAAAATATGGCAGAAGTGTGAGACTTTCAAGATGAGGTCATAAAAAACATTGAAGCTTTTATTTAGTTTCATCTTGCATCACTTGCTCTGGGGAAAACTAGCTGCCATGTCATGAGGACACTCAAGCAGCTCTGTGGTGAGACCCAGGTGGCAAGGAACTGAGGCCCCTTGCCAACGGCCAGTGCTGACTTTCCAGCCCCAGCCAGACATTCAGATTCTGCAGCCCCAGCTGACGTCTTCACTATAACCTGAAGAGCGCGCTGCCAGAACTACCCAGCTAAGCTACTCCAGAATTCCTTACCCACAGAAGCTATGTGAGATAATTTATTATGTGAAATAATAAATGTTTATTGTCAGCTGGTACTGGTGGCACATGCCTGTAATCCCAGCACTTTGGGAGGCCAGGGAGGTCCGATCACCTGAGGTTGGGAGTTTGAGACCAGCCTGACCAACATGGAGAAACCCCGTCTCTACTAAAAATACAGAATCAGCTGGATGTGGTGGCACATGCCTGTAATCCCAGCTACTCAGGAGGCTGAGGCAGGAGAGTCATTTGAACCTGGGAGGCGGAAGTTGTGGTGAGCCGAGATCATGCCATTGCACTCCAGCCTGGGCAACAAGAGTGAAACTCCATCTCAAAAAAAAAGTTTATTATAATTTGAAGTAACTAAATTTTGAGGTCATTTGTTACACAGCAATATATAATATATTAGGGCTCCTCAGGTCTTGAGAGAAGCCTGGAACCAGGGTTATATGCTCACCTGCATCCACGTGGATGAGTGCCTCTTTGTTCTCCTGGATGGAGTTTTCCTACTGGAATAATGGTTCCACTCCCTCTGCTCCCCAGGGACATGCCTTCCATTGGGCTGGGTGCCTCAGCTGACGGGTCTTGTATACCTAAATTTAGTATATGAAATGTAGTGTCTACTAAAAATACAAAAACTAGCAGGTGTGGTGGCATATGCACCATCTGATAGGTCTTGTATTCCTGTAAAGGAGGACAGAGCCGCTGGCTCCACTTACAAGCAGCAGGAGCCTGACGGCCACCATGCCACCTTCCTTCCCAGACAACACAGGCCGGTTCCAGGGCGTTGCTTGTCTACCCAAGGGGCAAGAAGATCACCAACTAGTCTAGGCTGTTTGGGGACTCTCTGGTTCTTCTTTAACATTAATAGAGATAGGGTCTCCCTGTGTTGCCCAGGCTGATCTCAAACTCCTGGGCTCAAGCAGTCCTCCCACCTCGGCCTCCCAAAGTGCTGGAATTACAGGTGTGAGCCTCTATGCCTGGCCTCTGGCTCTTTTCTGACTCCTGAAATGGGGTTCTCTCCAAACCTTTACATGGTGTGTACATTAATAACTGTGGGTTCTCTTTGTGGATTTAGGAATTGTTCTTTTTTTTTTTCTGAGACGGAGTCTGGCTGTCACCCAGGCTAGAGTGCAGTGGTACAACAGCTCACTGCAACCTCCACCTCCTGGGTTCAAGCAATTCTCCTGCCTCAGCCTCCCAAGTAGCTGGGATTACAGGCGCCTGCCACCATGCCCAGCTAATTTTTTTGTATTTTTAGTAGAGACGGGGTTTCACTATATTGGCCAGGCTGGTCTTGAACTCCTGACCTTGTGATCCACCCAGCTCAGCCTCCCAAAGTGCGGGGATTACAGGCCTGAGCGAATTGTTCATTTTTACCACAAACAGAATGGTAGTAAGAGAGAGAGATGCTTGCCCATTTCTAAAGTGTCAGCAGCAATTTTAAGACATTAAATAACACCTTCCGTAAGCTCTGGAGACTGGAAAGTGCTGCAGAGCCTAGTCCCATCCTCTAAAACCCAGTTTCTCCCCACGTATGCCGGCCACCATTCTTTTTTTTTTTTTTTTTTTTTTTTTTTAGCTGGAGTCTCGCTAGGTCACACAGGCTGAAGTGCGGTGGCGAGATCTTGGCTCACTGCAACTCTCCCTACTGGGTTCAAGCGATTTTCCTGCCTCAGCCTCCTGAGTAACTGGAATTACAGGTGTGCACCACCACGCCCAGCTAATTTTTGTATTTTTAGTAGAGATGGGGTTTCACCATGTTGGTCAGGCTGGTCTTGAACTCCTGACCTCGTGATCTGCCTGCCTCAGCCTCCCAAAGTGCTGGGATTACAGGCATGAGTCACCGCACTGGCCTCTTTTCTTAAAAAATAAATAAATAAAATTAAAAATCTTAACGCTTTATGGGACACTTCATAAATTTTAGTGTCATCCTTGAGCAGAGGCCATGCTAATCTTCTTTGTATTGTTCCAATTTTAGTATATGTGCTGCTGAAACAAGCAGAAAAGGCCACCATTCTTTTTCTTTTTTGTGACAGAGTCTTGCTCTGTCACCTAGGCTGGAGTGCAGTGGTGGGATCTCGGCACACAGCAACCTCCGCCTCCTGGGTTCAAGCAATTCTCCTGCCTCACCTTTCTGAGTAGCTGAAATTACAGGTGTGCGCCACCACACCCTGCTAATTTTTGTACTTTTAGTAGACACGGGGTTTTACCATGTTGGCCAAGATGGTCTCGATCACCTGACCTCACGTGATCCACCCGCATCAGCCTCCCACAGTGTTGGGATTACAAGCGTGAGCTACCTCCCTTGGCCAGCTGCCACCATGTTTATAGCAGATTAAGAGATGTTCCAGTTTGGGAGGACTTTGAGGGGACCTCCCATCCCTCCCAAAGTGCTGGGATTACAGGGGTGAGCCACCGTTCCCGGCCCTCAGCTCTAATTCTAGCCTAGGGTTTATATTCAGTCCTCAAGTAGACATGGGATACCTGGAATTCTAAGACATCCTGGACAAGCTCCACAAACAGCTGATAACCACCCTTGAGCCAGAAATAGCTGTACAGTAGCTTTACTATTGTATAATTCAACGTTATTTCTGTATAATTCAAGGTTTGCTAGCCTCCTTCATCTGCAGTAGTGAAATCCAGTTTCAGTGAAGCTGGTTTCCTCGGCACTAAGTGATGCCTGCATTCTCCAGCACACGCCGCCCTGCCTCAGGAGGCACGTGAGCTTTGTCATCTACCCACACCACGACCCTTGACTCGGCCTCACAGCCTCTCTGCTGCTTCATCCTCTCCCTTGTTCTCACCTGTCAGATTCCTTCATGTCTGAAGGTCCTCTGACCTCCCAGTCCTTGTCAGCCTTGAGCAAGTAGGAAATGCTGGGGCAGGAAAAACAGACTGATGAGGGCTGTCGCTGTGCCCGTGTTGTGCAGCACGCAGGGTCTCGGCACAAACTTGTTCTCTAGGAGCACACGCTGCATCTGAACTTGTAATGTTTATTTTTTTTGAGATGGAGTTTCGCTCTTGTCACCCAGGCTGGAGAGCAGGGGTGCGATCTTGGTGCTCTACAACCTCCCCTTTCTGGGTTCAGGTGGTCCTTTTGCCTCAGCCTCCTGAGTAGCTGGGATTACAGGTGTCCACCACCACACCCAGCTAATTTTTTTATTTTTAATAGAGACAGGGTTTCACTATATTGGTCAGGCTGGTCTTGAACTCCTGACCTCAGGTGATCCACCCACCTCAACCTCCCAAAGTCCTGGGATTACAGGTGCCTGCCACCACACTTGGATAATTTTTGTATTTTTTTCATTTACTTATTTTTTCCTTTACTGTCATCTCTAAATGCCCATGAATTTTGTATTTTTATTTATTTTTTTAAAGTTATGTTTATTGAAGTATGATTTTACATTCAGTAAAATTCATCCTGTTAGGATTTGATAAATGCATAATCATACCATAATCAAGATGCAGAACCAACTGTACAGTCACTCTAATGATTCCCTCCTGTCCATTTGCAATCAACCCCTTTTTGATCCCAAGGAACTCACTGACCTGTTTTTCTGTCAAAAGTGTCAAATTTAGGCCGGGCGCGGTGGCTCAAGCCTGTAATCCCAGCACTTTGGGAGGCCGAGGCGGGTGGCTCACAAGGTCAAGAGATCGAGACCATCCTGGTCAACATGGTGAAACCCCGTCTCTACTAAAAATACAAAAAAGTAGCTGGGCATGGTGGCACATGCCTGTAATCCAGGCTACTCAGGAGGCTGAGGCAGGAGAATTGCCTGAACCCAGGAGGCGGAGGTTGCGGTGAGCCGAGATTGCGCCATTGCACTCCAGCCTGGGTAACAAGAGCAAAACTGTCTCAAAAAAAAAAAAAAAAAAAAAAAAAAAAAGTCAAATTTAATCACTAAAATGATCTACAGTACTATGGAAAAATGTATAAGCACATAAAATACACAAACCAATATTTTTTAAAAGTGAGATACTTTAAAAAGTTTATTTCTTTTTTTCTTTTTTCTTTTAAAGATGGGGTTTCACCAGGATGGCCAGGCTGGTCTTGAACTCCTGACCTCAGGTGATCCACCCACCTCAGCCTCCCAAAGTGCTAGGATTACAGGCATGAGCCACCACGCCCAGCCTTAAAAAGTGTCTTTAGCATACCAACAAAAAATGAAGGTAGCATTGCATTTTACTATAGATGTGCAAATATTCATCAAAATCCACCATTGTCATATGTATGGCTCAACAGTAATGTTTAAGAATATACTAGGAAGGCATGGTGGCTCACGCCTGTAATCCCAGCACTTTGGGGCGCCGAGGTCCGCCGATCACCTGAGGTTAGGAGTTTGAGACCAGCCTGGCCAGCATAGTAAAAGCCCATCTCTACAAACATTAGCCTATAATCCCAGCTACTTGGGAGGCTGAGGCGGGAGAATCACTTGAATCTGGAAGGCGGAGGTTGCAGTAAGTCGAGATTGTGCCACTGCATTCCAGCCTGGGCACTAGCAAGACTTGAACAAAACAAAAATGTGTAAAAATACAAAGTTAGCTGGGTGTGGTGGTGCGTGCCTGTAATCCCAGCTGCTCGGGAACCTGAGGCAGGAGAATGATATCAAGAGGCAGAGGGTGCAGTGAGCTGAGATTGCACCATAGTACTTCAGCCTGGGAGACAAGAGTGGAGCCTTAAAAAAAAAAAAAAGACTCATAAACTACAAAAAAGAAAAAAGTATACTTTTTGTTTGTTTGTTTGTTTTGTGTGTGTGTGTGTGTTTTTTTTTTTTTGGAGAAGGAGTTTCGCTCTTGTTACCCAGGCTGGAGTCCAATGGCGCGATCTCGGCTCACCGCAACCTCTGCCTCCTGGGTTCAGGCAATTCTCCTGCCTCAGTCTCCTGAGTAGCTGGGATTACAGGCACGTGCCACTATGCTCAGCTAATTTTTTTTTTTTCCTTTTTTTTGGGGGGGACGGAGTTTCGCTCTTGTTATCCAGGCTGGAGTGCAATGGCGCGATCTCCGCTCACCGCAACCTCCGCCTCCTGGGTTCAGGCAATTCTCCTGCCTCAGCCTCCTGAGTAGCTGGGATTACAGGCACGAGCCACCATGCCCAGCTAATTTTTTGTATTTTTAGTAGAGACGGGGTTTCACCATGTTGACCAGGATGGTCTCCATCTCTTGACCTCGTGATCCACCAGCCTCAGCCTCCCAAAGTGCTGGGATTACAGGCGTGAGCTACCTACCACGCCCAGCCCCCCCCAAAAAAAGTATACTGTAAAATAACAATCGTAACCATCTTTTTTTTTTTTTTGAGACAGAGTTTCACTCTTGTTACCCAGGCTGGAGTGCAATCGCGCGATCTCTGCTCACCGCAACTTCCAGCTCCCGGGTTCAAGCAATTCTCCTGCCTCAGCCTCCTGAGTAGCTGGGACTACAGGCATGCGCCACCATGCCCAGCTAATTTTTGTATTTTAGTAGAGACGGGGTTTCACCATGTTGACCAGGATGGTCTCGATCTCTTGACCTCGTGATCCACCCACCTCGGCCTCCCAAAGTGCTGGGATTACAAGCGTGAGCCACCGCGCCCAGCCAATCGTAACCATCTTTAGAGTTAAGTCATTTTTTTTTTTTTTTTAAAGATGGTGTTTCACCATATTGGTCAGGCTGGTCTTGAACTCCCGACCTCAGGTTATCTGCCCGCCTTGGCCTCCAAAGTGCTTGGATTACAGGCGGGAGCCACCACGCCCAGCCTAAGTCATATCTTTGTTGAGTATATGAACCATGATTAAGGTATTGCTCTTGGTATTAACACTGTCAAGTTACAGACCACAGCTGGTTCATAGAAAAACTGCTTTAAATAATGAAACTGAATTCCATAAAAATTTCCTACAGGATCAACTCAACTGTAAGGCAGAGACACAAAACAGTCAGGCATTCTTATAGATGGTTGGGGCCCTCTCAAAATTCACCCTTGCTACCACTGTGAAGAGAACCACCAAAAAAAGCAACCTCTATTCTGTAGATGGTAAACGTAACATATCCAAATATGTCTCATCTACTTGAAAAGTTTCACTGATTCTTTCAAGGGCCAGACCTTAAGTTCATCAGCATCTTGAAACTCCACCACGCCCAGTCATGTGCCGCGGCTGAAAAGCAATTTTTGTATTTTTAAGAGAAGGGGGTTTCACCATATTGGTCAGACTGGTCTTTTTTTTTTTTTTTTTGGAGACAGAGTTTCGCTCTTGTTGCCCAGGCTGGAGTGCAATGGCGCGATCTCGGCTCACCGCAACCTCCGCCCCCTGGGTTCAGGCAATTCTCCTGCCTCAGCCTCCTGAGTAGCTGGTATTACAGGCGTGCACCACCATGCCCAGCTAATTTTTTTGTATTTTTAGTAGAGACAGGATTTCACCATGTTGACCAGGTTGGTCTCGATCTCTTGACCTCGTGATCCACCCGCCTCCCAAAGTGCTGGGATTACAGGCTTGAGCCACTGCGCCCGGCCAGACTGGTCTTGAACTCCTGACCTCAGGTGATCCACCCACCTCAACCTCCCAAAGTGCTGATTTCTGCTCATGGAACCACCTTTGCAAAAAACCTAATCAACTCTATTTTGCTTCTTCCTTTAAGCTGTCTTTGTTCCTTCCTGGGCGTGAGCTGAACTAACTTTGGGAGGAACTTACGTTTATGGTTTTTTGTTTTTTGAGACAGAGTCTCACTCTATCACCAAGCTAGAGTGCATAGCACAATCTCGGCTCACTGCAACCTCCGCCTCCAGGATTCGAGCGATTCTCCTGCCTCAGGCTCCCGAGTAGCTGGGACAACAGGTGTGTGCCACCACACCCAGCTATTTTTTTTTGTATTTTTAGTATAGATGGGGTTTCACCATGTTGGCCAAGCTGGTCTCAATCTCTTGACCTCATGATCTGCCCGCCTCAGCCTCCCAAAGTTCTGGGAATTACAAGCGTGAGCCACTGGGCCGGCCTGTGGTTTATAGTTTAAAACAAAGATGATAACAGC